CTCTCTCTCTCTCTCTCTCTCTCTCTCTCTCTCTCTCTCTCTCTCTCTCTCTCTCTCTCTCACACACACACACACACACACACACACACGTGCACGGACGCACAAGGACGCGCGCACAGAGAGACAGAAAGGAACGATGCCTAGGAAAATTAGACTCTGGGTCTCGCTCCACTACTCTCGAAATGTGCAAAACGAGAGTGAATCTTCCGCTAGAGCATCGAAAGATACACCGTAATGAGTTTTGTCTTTTGTGCATGTCGCGAGTAGTGGAGCGAGGCCCTCTATTAACAGCATGACCAGAAGAGGAAGAAGATCAGAATAGAGATGGAGATCGTTGATGGGTTGGACAACTGAATGACAATATCGTGGAGAGAGTGGAGACAGAGAATGAGACACAGAGCAAGGGAGACGGCACTAGTGCGTGCCAGCAAGCCAACAAGACAATGGGCACTATCAGAGAGTGCGCAAGTCGATAAGTGTAGTACGGCAATTCTGCGAAAGCGCCCGTGACATCAGTCAGAATTGGACCTCTACATAGGTGATTTGAGTAGACCTCAGGGGAGGAGCCCGCTGTTATACAAAAACGATGGTGGCGGGCATGGCACCTCAGTGTGCGTAAAGGAGGTGCCCCTGTTATACGGAAAAAATAAAAGGGCAGGGATGGTACCTCAGTGTGTAGAGAAGGTGCTGGGAATTCAATTCAAAGAACAACGGCGGAGCCAAAAACAGGGCATCGCCAGTAATTGGGAACTCACAATCACAATAGTCATCTAGAAACACGCCTGTTCTCATCTTGCTGGTGGCCTGGGGCGCGCCGTGATCCCCTCTCTCTCTCCCCGCTCTCCTTCCCGAACTCCAGTGGCTCTTCCCGCCGCTTGTCTATTGATTTTCCCAGCCTCGTCGGCGCCAATCTCTCCACGCTACGGTCCAAATGTCAGGGGAAATCCCACTGAGCGCGGTTGCGCTCGGCGTCTTTTTCGAACTTCTCTTGACCGTTAAACATGCGCCAGCAGCTACAAGTAGAGAAGCACCGTAGTTCCATACAAGCGCTCATGACACCACAACATGGCATCGCGTGATGTCGCAGGTAAGCCGCCGTCGCGGCTCGTCTCGCTCTCGAGGGTTATAATATTGAGAGCGGTTTGGCGGGTTTCGAACTCGTGATCTGCTTAGTACGTTGCAGGTTTCGAACTCGCGATCTGTTTATTACCAGTTACATGTCTGTATCGTTCAACCACATGGAGGATTGGGTTCCCGCTCTCCCGCTCTGACCCGGGGGAGGTCCAACGTCTTTCTTCCCCCGAATACAACGTACGGTCGTTGTAGCAAAGATATCAAATTCAGCTGTGCGTTGTATTCGGGGAAATACTATAGCAAAGAGAATTGGATTTAATGCCTGAAACCCGACTTGTTCTTCAAGAAATGCAGAAACACGTGTCGCGACTGATCTGCTTTTCTGCACCACCGCACAAAGCACATCCAGATTCAGGCGCTCAATCCTATATCCTATTTGCTTTTGGCTTTTTTTTGGTAGTGGGGCCTCGTCGCTGCAGTGTTCCCTGGTCGCGTGGGTCGTCCAGACGGAGATTCTGGCAGTCCCGAGCCCGGCGGGTAAGAAGGCGGACGCGAAGAACGCGGGGGAACCAGGGGACGATCGGGGGAACGCGGGAGCGTGCTCCGCGGAACGGACCGGACGTACGGACGCTAACCCCCAAAGACGCTCCAAGGGCGGCGCTGCTTTTCCTTCGCTTGTCACCGTACTCAATTATTTTCAGCTGGACATCGGGAACACGGCCTCATCCTCACCGTTAGATCAGTTGAAACCAGTAAGGGACCGTTCACCGCACAGCTGACGTGTCGCCTCCTGGCCATGCAGAAGGCGCGACAAGGCACAAATCGAAAGGGAAAAGAACGGCTCTCTTCTCCCGCCGTCGTGGCACCTCATTGGAACCGCGCCCAAAAGTAACGGGCAAGGAAAAAGCGCTTGAGCTTATCCACAAACCGCACGAGGTTCGAAAGGTTCGAACACGAGCCTAGCCGAGCTGGTACGCCAAGAACCGTTCAAATGCACACCAGAGATCAAATCCAGTTCGGTTATGCGATGAATGAAAATAACTGAGCTGGAAGCTTCTCTCACTGCAGACCTAAACTGTGCCCCACGGACAAGCGGGGTGAGATGCAGCATTAGCGTTAGCACTGAGAGGTGAAGTATGCAGGCCGGCACAGCCGAAAGAGAAGGAGAGTGGTTGAGGAAAACGGCGCTCAGCGCTACTCGTGCGCTAATTTCGGCATGCGCTCTTTTCGGAGACGAAAAGGGAAATGCCGAGTCTGGCAGCAGGGATTAGCCATCGCCGTTGTTGGCTCGGGACCCTCGGTTAGTATACCGAGAGGTACCACGAGCTGACCTTGTCTACACCGTAACGTTTTTACGGCGAGGGTTCCTGGTGAGATACCAGGGCCGGACGAGTCCCCTCCGATGCTGGGTTCCGTTTGTCACGAATTGTTGTCAAGCCTGGGTCGAGTGCCCATGCGAGAAGGAGGTGATCTTCTGCAGTGGTAGTTCACAAAGTACGGGTTGATATCAAGCCAAGGGAAGCAGGTCAAATGCAGGTATAATTTTCAGCCCCCGCCCCACGGCCTCTTGGATGTGGAAAGGATTAGCTGTTAATTACTTGCTCCTATTTATAAATGCTTCGGATTAAATATTCAATTTAGACGTGAATTGTGTTCGGTAGGTGGTTTGGTTTTTTGCATATGAGATGGCGGCCGAGAGGCCGACCTCCTCTATTGTCTACCGCGTGGGCGCGGGGAACGCAGCCCTAAGGTAGCCAAATCAATGAGACTAAGAGCTCGCAAGAGAGAGAGAGAGAGAGAGAGAGAGAGAGAGAGAGAGAGA